GAATGCGACTAATACCTACTGCTGTGCTTGCCAGCAAATTCATTTCCGTTCACCTTAAGCAGCTATACAGAATTACGCGATCAACATAGAAATAACGTGAAAATGTTGCGAAAGCTCACTTTTTGACATTCAGAAAAACCTCGACACACGAGATACGAAACTATGACGATATAAAATTCGGATGTTTACAGCACTGTGACCACTGTCTGACACTAATAGTTGGGCTCCGAAAACCCCGGCTCCGAGTTGGGCTCGAGAGAGAGAGAGAGAGAGAGAGAGAGAGAGAGAGAAAAAAAGAGAAAGGGGGAAGAGATAGGGGACCGAAAGGGAAGGGAGTGCGAGGGAAAGAAAGGAGGAAGAGAGAGAGAGAGAGAGAGAGGGGGGGGGAAGAAGGGAGGAAATGCGAGAGGGGGAGAGGGTGTGGGGGAAGACAACAGCTCACAGCACAAGTTCAAAGCTGCCTCTACTGCTACTGCTACTGCTACTGCACTGCTAGCACACACACACACACACACACACACTCTTCACAACGCATCTTCTCAGTAGAAGATTTCTGCTTCGCGTGAGTATATCAAACACACCAATTACTGATTTTATTTAAACGCTGGCAGCCGGACAACGACGAATGCGCATGATTGGCCCAGGCTGGCTTCCTGGCTAAGCATCAATGTCAGTCTATTTAGTATTACCTCGGTTCTTTGGTCGTAAACGAAATCTCGAATACTAGAGCGTTTCCGACGGCATGTTCTATGAATTTGCAACTTTCGTTCTTGATCTGCGTGAAACCTGTTCATCAACAAGCTCCTGTTACGTTTTACTTGCATCGCTTCAAGTTCAACACACGCTCCCGCTCACACACGCGTACGCACATCATCATGTATGCACATTGTGAATTGCAAGTTCACCACTACACTACACGACATGCATCTCGTCTTTCTTCGACACCTTCTCACTCTAGCTCACCCTCCCTCCCTCCCTCTCCCTGCTTCCCTGGATTCCCCACGCCTCTCTCTTTCTCGCTCTCTCTGTGCGTGCGTGCGTGTGAGCGTGCGTGTGTGCGTGCGTGCGTGTGTGCGTGCGTTTGTATATGTCCTAGACCTTATTTATCGTGTTAACGTAACTCATTCGTAACAGTTTCCACGCACGCACGCACGCACGCACGCACGCACGCACGCACGCACGCACACCAACAGGGAAAACACCAGTTAGCAAAAAAGAATTTCCAAAACAGTCGTACTCTGCAAGGTGCCCATGCTCACTGATCAAATAGCCACTTCGAACACTTCCATCGGCCACGTGCGTACGTACGTGTTCCATTCTCTGCAGGAGAAGCTCATGTGTGGGTGGTGGCAGTGGTGGTGGTGGTGGGGGGTGAGTGTGATGTGTGGGTGGCGGCAGTGGTGGTGGTGGGTGTGATGTGTGGGGGGTGGCAGTGGTGGTGGTGGTGGGGGGTGAGTGTGATGTGTGGGTGGCGGCAGTGGTGGTGGTGGGTGTGATGTGTGGGGGGTGGCAGTGGTGGTGGTGGTGGGGGGTGAGTGTGATGTGTGGGTGGCGGCAGTGGTGGTGGTGGGTGTGATGTGTGGGGGGTGGCA